TTCGACGAGGAACTCGACTAGTTTCAAGCCATGCTAGAGACTCATATTCGAGCCGTTCGTAAACTTTTCGAGTTCGTAAGTAAGCCAAAAACATAATAATTAATTGAGTATGGTATGGTAATTAGCTGGTATGTCTCACAAAACTGACTGACTGACACGAAAATGACCGCCTCTTTGGCCGAGTGGTCGCAAGTGAGACTGCCGGGCGAGGGGTCTCGGGTTGGATTCCTGGGTCGGGCAAAGTATCACTGGGTTTTTTAAAAATTCTCAGTAGTAGCATGGAGTCTGGAATTGTACCCGGTTTATGGCAATAGGGAATAGGGACTCATAATATAAATAGTGAAAAGTGGGTGTTACATTGTACAGTGGCATTAAGTGCCGAAATGTGCACCTTTGCCTACCCCTTCGGGGATAAAGAGGCATGATGTTATATTATGTAAATTTAAAACTGTATCCCCAAGAATCGATGACTACAGTCCTAATCCAAATCCCTTTTTAAAACCAAACAAAATTAATATTAGCCCACAGTAAACACAAGCTAAAAGTTGTTGAACACGATTTTATGAGACCTAGACGGTGTATCGTAAAAATCCCATATAACAATGTTTACAGACTGGTGGAGTTAACTCAACACAGTTAAGGATTAAGTTACACTGTGACTAGGGATTAAATGGCGAATGAGATTTTGTAAGGAACGTGGAACCGCAACAAACTAAGACCTAATTACATACAATGGTTAGTCAATAGTGACCAGATTGGCGGTATATTAAAGAAGGGCCAAATTAAAAGTACCCTTAACCGACGAGCATGCATGAAAAGATTGATGACTGTTAATGAAGCGAAAGAGGCATGTAGGAATCGTAGTAATTGGTGTTCCATAGTCTCTGCCTACCCCCATGGGAGACTGGCGTGAAGTTATGTATGTATGTATGTACAATGGTTTGTTTATTGATTGGTTTAGTTCCTGCTTTACGATTTATGGGAGCTTACGGATCACAAGTGATCAGCATCGCCCATGAACACCCCTAACACAATACAATTTTAACGTTGTAATGTCGTTATATCGTTCTCACATATGTATACACTAGCTACTTGCGCGCGGTTTCACCTGCTCTGCTCGGCTCCTATTGGTCGTAGCGAGATGTTTTATAGCCTATAGCCTTCCTTGATAAATTGACTATCCAACACATAAAGAATTATTCAATTTGAATCAGTAGTTTCGGAGATTAGCGCGTTCAAACAAACAAACAAAAAAGCAAACTCTTCAGCTTTATAATAGTGAGTGGTCGCAAGTGCGACTGCCGAGCAAAGGGTCTCGGGTTCAGCACACACTTTTCACTTTTATTGTATGAGTCCCATGTACTAGGGGGTGAACCTATTGCCATATACCGGGCACAATTCCAGACTCCGTGCTATTAGTGAGATTTTTTTAAACACTCAGTAACATTTTGTCCGACTCGAAATTCGAACCCGAATCCCCTTGGCCCGGCAGTCCCATTTGAGACCACTCGGTCAACGAGGCAGTCGAGCAGTGACACTTAAATGCATTTAATAAATCCAGCATGAAATGAACGTCTTAAGTGATTCAGCGTCTGCCTGGCAACACCGCAGTGCACCGCTCTTATCTTCAGGACGGATGCTCAGTTCGCTGGCGTGTGCAGTGGGGCCATTAAATCAGCGACTTATTAATATATTTTAATTTGGTTTTAATTTGTTAAAACAGTCAGTTCTGGTCGTTAAATGGTAAGTACTAGGTATGACTGCCTCGTTGGTCGAGTGGTCGCAAGTGCGACTGCCGAGCATGGGGGCCCGGGTTCGATTCCCGGTTCGGGCAAAGTATTACTGGGTTTTAAAAAAAATCTCAGTAGTAGCACGGAGTCTGGAATTGTGCCCGGTATATGGCAATAGGCTCACCCCCTATTAAATGGGACTCGTAATATAAATAGTGAAAAGTGGGTGCTACATTGTACAGTGGCATAATGTGCACCTCTGCCTACCCCTTCGGGATAAAAGGCGTGATGTTATGTTATGTACTAGGTATGATTTTAACCTCTTTTCTGTCGATATGAGGTACAATAGAAAACACACTATGTCTCGCGCACATCATCGTTCCGACACTTCACAGGTTGAATGCGTGATAAAAATGTTCGAGCTAACGTCATTATAATTTTTTCCACATAAACAGAACCTGCTGCTGCTGGAAACCTAAAAATATTAATGAGATTTTTGATCAAACTGTCAAACACCGCGAGGACACCGGTGACCGCAACCTATTGTTCTTTAATTGTGTCTATAATGACGGTACTCAACGAGTTAAAAGACAGTAATTCCGTCTGTTGGTACTAGGTTACTACATGGAACTCATATGATATGTAAAAATAGGTGTTACTTTATAATAAAGATTGTTATTTCCTTGTGCGTTCTCCTAAGGAGTGGAATTCTTTGCCAGAGTCTGTGTTTCCTGAAGGGTATAACCTGGGTTTCTTTAAGGCCTGAGTGAATAGGTTGCTTATGGGACGACGAGCTCCATCGTAGGCTGCATCATCGCTTACCACAAGGCGAGATAGTGGCCAAACGCCGGCCCATCATATATATATCTATATAAATAAAAATGAATTTCTGTTCGTTAGTCTCGCTAAAACTCGAGAACGTCTGAACTGATTTGGCTAATTTTGGTCTTGATAGGTTCATGGAAATCTAGGGAAGGTTTAAAAGTTGAGAAAAAACTTTTAGGCAGTACGAAGTTTGCCGGGTCAGCTAGTATATATATATATATATAAATAATAATAATAATTAATGGGTACAGCCACTTTGTTTAACTCAAAATTGATAACTAAGACTGCCTCGTTGGCCGAATGGTCGCAAGTGCAACTACCGGGCAAGGGCTCTCGGGTTCGATTCCCGGACCGGGCAAAGAATAACGGGGTTTTTAAAAAAAAATCTCAGTAGTAGCACGGAGTCTGGAATTGTGCCCGGTATATGGCAATAGGCTCACCCCCTAGTACATGGGACTCATAAAATAAAAGTGAAAAGTGGATGTTACTTCTGTGTGCACCTCTGCCTACCCCTTTGGGGATAAAAGGCGTGATGTTATGTTATGTGATAACTAAGAAATAATATAAAAAAGACATAGGTCCAAGAATAAAACCTCATTAAGTTTATTATTTGCACCACACAACACAAGTATAACCTACAGGCGAGCGGATGTTGTTCTGTTCGGTGGTTGCGTGCGCAATGTGAGGCCACGAAACTAGCGGTTTTTGCTAATTTAAATTTTATTGAAATAGATTGATTTATTGATCGTAGAGGTAATTGCTAAAAGGTGGAAGTTAATATTAAAATAAACATATTAATTGTTGTTAAGTTGTCCTTTAAATTGCTATTACAATTGAATAAAATAAAACGTTAATCTTTCTGAATGATAAGAGATTTTTGTCTAGTCAGGGAGGTAGTTCCAGCCTACAGGGATAAATGCGCTATCCAACACAAAAAGAATTATTCAAAACAGACTTGTAGTTACGGAGATTAGCGCGTTCAAACAAACAAAAAAACAAATTCTTCCGCTTTATATAATTATGTAGTATAATTATTAAGAATTTTATGCTGTTGACATATGCAAACAAGATATAACTTGATTAAAATAAAATATATCTATTTACATTAATAATCCAGAAAATATAATAAAGTACATAGTTGCATATCTCGGTGTTGGAGGGCCGAATGCACTGGATCGATGCAGCGACTGCGCACTGCGCGGGTCGATGCACCCGCCACTGTGACGTAACCACGCACATCCACTAACCAGCTGCTATGGTAGAAGTACCACTTCAAAACGTGACAGAAATTTATGACTTGTTTTTAAGTCGATTTATGTATGTAATGTTCATCCATATTGTCAATGACATCATTTAATTAACCATCACTAAAAATACCTAGATAAAAATAAACTCACACTTTTGTACGAATGCTCCCTATAGACAAAAACTACAGTAGTAGTGAAACCTTTAAAGTTGTACATATTTAAAAATAATTTTTCTTAAACGTTTTTTCTGAAAAATACAATTCTTTATAACGAGAAGAAATACAATGCAATTCTTCAAAACATTGTTGAAGAATAATTAAATATGTAGTAAATTAAACTAAATTCCGTTGTTTATTCAAATTCTGGTTATTGAACAGCAAGACTTTATTTAAGTATATGGTTATTCTAGATGTAATTGTTCTTTTTTTGTTCTTTTTTGCATTCATTTTTCTGATTACTCTCTCACTGTACTCTACTCTAGATTTGACACGTTTTTTGTTAATTGCCACGTTATAAAACTTTCATTTTAAACGAATTGATGGTACTTCTGTAGTACCCTGTTAATGTCCCTATCCTAATGTTTTGCTAGGTTCGGATCGCGGAATGCTCCGATTCACAACCGCTCTGATGAACTTATGGAACTATTTGATGGAGTTATTTTAATACCTATTGCGGTTATCATAAAACAGTGTTGTCTGCAATATTCCCTTTCTAGTCTCGACGTTATATTTCGCAGAATCGTCGAGTTCCATCCGATGGAATAATTTATTATCCTTCACAAATATAGAGTTGAATTCCGTAAATTTGCTGTGTCAGTCTCAGCAGTTACTTCATAGAATTCAGTTCGTTCTAAAAATTTAAACTATTCGTGTCTCTCATGCATATTTTGATTTGTTTCTCTCTTCTCAAACTGCTATACTTATATTACGTTTCTGATTTAATTACTGATATATATTTCCCTCTTGAATTTTTAGTGAATCTTTCTTCACGCATGTCCCTAGATGTCAAGACCCTTTTTTGCCAAGCATGACATTTATTCCTATACCAATGTAATTAGACCCAAGATACCTAATTAATTCTATCAATTCAATTTTCTCCGTACACCTGGGAATTCACCCCAACAATTTTCTCCGTGCACCTTCCCTAGCGTTATCTACATTACATTCTTTCTTTCATTCTCATTCATTCTCCCACTCACCTCCTGTTGTCGAGGTAGCTGTCGTACTCGTCCGGCGTGTTCTTCTCGTCATGCATATCGTACAAGTCACTGTATATCGCTGACTCTAGTCGAGATGGGTCCAAGTGATAGTTCGGATTCTCGTACGAGAGAAGACCATTCTCTGTGAACAAGGAAAGGAAATTAAGTTAGGAAAGATTTTCGGTAATATTTGGGTACTTGCCAACTAGTAAAATTCAATACTTTTTTTGAACTGTTAAATACGACAGTCTCCTACGAATTTTGTACGCGAATGTGTATTGTGAAGTCACGTGACAAACAGCGTATTTGTTTCTTAAAAAATTGCAGGAAAATTTTCCAAAATTAAGTTGGTCATAAAATAATTTATTTTTCTTTAAGGAAATTACCTAATTGTGTTTGAGATATGTATTGTATTGAGACAGAAATAATTGAGTTGAGTGCTATTTTTCTTCCGATTACAGAGAGTAACTTTCTTCTCATCACAATAAGTAGCTAAACCGATAAACATAACTTCTGAAGAAGTCAAGTAAAAATTATTGTAATTTTTGGGATTCAATCTACTAATATAATTTTTTTCTTAAAAAATCGATCCATCACACTGAATTATATATCACTCACAATATTCTCAAAAAAATGCAATCTACTAAAAACTTTTTAGAATTTACATTAAATGTATTATTCTTGGATCGTATATTTAAAAAAATACGTTGTCCCCGATCAAGAGATATAGAGAACATTACAATACGTTGACTGTCTGGCAGTCGTCTACAAACTAGATTATTTTAGCTTTTATTTTCTTGATAACTAAGTCTAGATTTGGACAGACATGAGCTGTCTTCAGCTTGAAAATAAAAGAAAGGATTATTTAATTCAGTTTGAAGATAGCTTTCTGTGGAATAATTTTTGTTTGTATTTATTAAGAAGTTTATGTATGGAGTATCGTTGTGATAATTAGGTAAAGACAAAGTTATTTTGAGTAAATAGGTATTCCATGACGAATTTTATGTTAAAACTAGAATACACATAGGCACTTTTATTAGCCGGAATATGTCTACTACAGAAGATAATACATACATAACATCATGCGTGTTATTCCCGAAGGGTCAGGCAGAGCAGCACTGAATGCCACTGTACAATATAACATCCACTTAACTATTTATGTTATGAGTCCCATGTAATAGGGGGTGAGTCTATTACCATATACCGGGCACATTTCCAGACCCCGTGCTACTACTGAGATTTTTTTTAATCTCAGTAATATTTTGTCCGACCCGGGAACCAGAGACAATAATCTTCCCTTAAAAAGGGTTTTGATATCCATTATAATGTAAGATCATAATATCTAATATGAAACCAACACCGACCGTCAACAGTCCAACAAATAATTAATCTCAAAATACAAAGATACAAACACAATTAAAAGTTATTAATTAAATACCAGTGTGTCATATTGAAACGATGTTATTCAAGTCGGGGCAAGCACTTGGTAGGCCTCATCGTAACCAGAGCTGAAGCCTTAACAATGGTTACCCCCTCCCCAAACCAACATGGCGGCCTTTACACGATGTAATTGCTGTCATCGTGTCCATTATGAATGTAATTGTATAACAAATGGATGGGCCTGTAATGTGGATCGATTGGTTGGGGATAAATTACTAGTATTTATCGCTGTCTGATAATTTATTCTTTGAAATGTGCAGTCGCGAATAGGATTATTATCATTTCAAAATCCTGTGACCGACTACTGCAATACTATAGTGGAGTACCATTGGAATATGGGTTTCGTATAAACGATACAATCTTACTTTACATGCGAATTGATCATTGTAGTTTAAAAGGTTCAGGTTTATCAGAGAGCACTGCTACCGAGTCTATGTCAAATGAATAGTTCCATAACTAAAGTGTGGGAGAGCCATGCTTCGGCACGAATGGGCTCGACCGGAGTGATACCACGGCTTCACAGAAAACCGACGTGAAACAACGCTTGCGTTGTGTTTCGTCGTATGAGTAAGGTTACCGGAGGCCTAATTACCGTCCCCCTCTTCTCTCTTCCAATCTCCCCAATCCCTAAATCACCAACAATCCTATTTCCTAATCCACATAAGGCCAGTAACACACTTGTAACGCCTCTGGTGTTCCAAGTATCCATGGACGACGCCGATTGCTTACTATCAGGTGATCCGAGAGCTTGTTTATCGTCTGATCTCATAAAAAAAACTAGATCTTAAAAACCCACGGGAAGAGAAGCGGTGGCAAAAAATGTATTCCTGTGCAACCCTTATACAATACACGTCTGAATAGAGATTATCCTTACTAATATTATAAATCGGAAAGTGAGTTTGTTTGTTTGTTTGTTCCGCTTTCACGCCGTAACTACTAAACCGATTGCTTTGAATTTTTGCAGATGTACAGTTAGAAGTCTGGATTAAATAATAGGCTACTTTTTATCCCGAAAAAAATTGATAATCTCGAGGGAAAACGTAATTATTGGAATAGATGGCGCTGTGTGTATTGGTATATATGTCATATAAGCTACTTTTTATCCTTTTGTGACGCGAGCGAAGCCGCGGGTAAAAGCTAGTAAAATATACATGTGATTAACAAAAGACTAACGTCGTGTAAGTGAATCTAAGTAGTTGAGCGCCTGACCCATTTACTTAGTTGAATCTCGAAGATGATTAGTAAACTTCACTTAACTATGGAGAATATGCCTTTAGGGGATTACACAGAAGTTTAATGATGTCGCCTGTTTATATCGCTTTAAAGTTAAATACCTTGTTGTTTAATTGTAGTTAGTGAAAGAGAAGGAGTCTGAAAAGGAGTTTCAATAGAATAGAGTAGGTAAATGACTAATTTTTATTTTAATGTCTAATGGTTTTAAAGACTATTTAAAGACATTAGACACGTATTTTTTTATTTTCTTACTTTTCGAATAGTTTCGAAGATTTGAAATATCGCATGACTTCACTTTTGAGTACGATTTATTCTCCTAAACTCCAATTCGTTTTATCTAGGTATTGTTTTTTTATACGACAAAATAAGAAAATACGTGTCTAATATTTTTTCATTACCTAACGGGCGGACTAACTGGATTTTTAATTTTCAAACCCTATCATCATCCCTATAGATATATATAAGATGAATGTGAATGATGACTGAATGTGAGTCAGGTCAGAGACTTCTTAGAGGTACAGTTTTTCCAAAAAAAAGTATTCCATGTGAAAATTATTTCCTGATTAACTAAAAATCGCGGTTTGCTCACGTAAACATACTGAGAAAAGCTCTACTAGTTTCGAATCACATAGGGAAGCCTCATGAGCAGCGTGCGCGGTCGTGGCGATGTCGCGCATCCTACTCGTGCCTGCCTAGCCGCGGAGTTAGTTAGAATTAGCCTTAGTATGGCTCACGATAGCTATTATAAAAACATAATTTCCCGATCTTTACAATAACACCGAAAGTGATACCACATTCTCTTGGGGTAAACTAATCAAACAAATTAACTTTTTGGGATTCTATAATACTTTTGACTAGACGTTATAGTCAGATGTTCGTATGACAACTAAAATTAAAACGTATATTACGTGGTCTCTGAGATAGGAATCCGTGTAACAGCTTAAACTGAGGAAAACATGCAGTGCATACCTGCGTGCTTACTCTTGTAACCAATCTCAATGTCTATGCAATTCCAATCCAATAAAATCTCAATAATTATTCAATTTCAAAACTATACAACCCCAATCTTAGCTGTTAAAATAGCATTTAGAATACGGAATATAAAGCCAAACTGAATACCATTTAGTTCATTCAATATCCACGCAATACGGATGTAATGAGCGCTAGTGTTGTAACTCAAGAGTACTACTAATCTAAATTGGATTCAAGAGTAAGTGCCCTGAACATCATCCCTTCCCCCGACATAATATTGTATCGTGTTATGGTAAATAAAACCATAAGTGTTTACTACTACAGTCATAAATGCTATACCACGGTGTAAAGAGTCATGAACTTCTATAGACGTGTACTAACCGTAAAATTACATTCAGATAAGCAAGTAATGTTGCTATTATTCGAAGTTTTGCAGCTTTCCTATAAACATTACATGCGCTTTTATCCGAGTATAGTGACGTAAAAGAGAAGAGTGAAACCATTTTGTGGTTTAAAGCAGTAAGTAGGTACGTCCAGATATGATATAGAGCATAATATATTACTTTTCTCCAATTGGACTTTATCTCTATTTTTTTTTATCTCTAAAATATCATCATCATCATCATCAAGAGCCTGTAAATGCCCACTGCTAGACAAAGCTTCTTCTCACACGGAGAATGTTTAAGCATTAACTCGTCGAGTACCGTCATTGTAGACACAATTATAGAACAATAGGTTGCGGTCACCGGTGACCGCTTGGTGTTTGACAGTTTAATCTCTCTGTCTCTCTATGTCCCTCCCGTGACATTCGATCATGTTGATGTTACCAGGCTACTGAAAGACATCTTGTTCCTGAAAACCAGCCTGGTGGAGATGCAGTCTAAGTTAGAGGTTTCTGATAACACCATTAGTGAATTACGTGCCGATATAGTGCTGCTACGCAGTGCGGTTTCGGAATGTAGGCCACTTGACACCTCTAACGTGAACACTCGTCGCGGTGCGCAAGTTGCTGTAGCAGGCAGTTTTGAGGAGGCGAATACGTCACCGGGCGCTATCAATTCTGCTAGCGATGCATCACGTGCCGCCGCAGCTGACCGACTGTCGACTTCAGGTCAGGTTACGACACGCATGAGCACATCGCCCCTTAAGCGTGCTTACGCCGATATTACCGCTGCCAGCAAACCTGCTAAATCCCAGGATAAGCAAATAGGGGGAAAACAGAATCGTGAATGTGTTCACAAAGATTGGAAACAACGGGGTTCTGACGAAGATGGTTTCATCACGGTGGAGAAGCGAAAGAAGAGGAAACCCACTTGTCGGAACCAGTGCGGCACCGCACCGACTGGACCTAACTTTCTGCTGCGTCCTGCCACACCAACGACGCTGCTGTACGTGTCCCGGCTGCATTACACTACAAAGGTTGAGGAGATCGTAGAGTACATCCGAGTGAAATCCAAATTCGTCATGAGAGTCGAGCGGTTGGAGTCTCGTCATAAT